CACGTCGCAATCTCCTGTTTGCACTGACAAGACCCTGAAAGTTTTTTTGAAGTGATTCTACATTATGTGTAGCTTTTTGTGGGACCAAGGCTCTGCATTCGTATTGTAAGTGAAGCATATTGTGAGTAATAAGCTGAAAGCTTCGCAGCAACAACGAAATGGTTTCACTGGACTAATATCTGCCTTCAGATGATTGCCATAGACTTTTTTCTACTTATAACTGCAGGACACTTCTGGTTTTCAATTTTCTTTACGTGTAAAAAATCCAGAATCATGAATTTACCTGTTTTGAGAACCCCCCCCCCCCCCACATGGAGTCTGCAGGCAAGCTTCAGTTAAACACTGGCGTTCGTTGAATTAACGACCATGTACCACATCAAGAGTATATGGTAATTGAAAATGCAATATTTGTATGGGAAAATCAGCCTCAAATTGTTGGTTTCTTTTGCCTCTCATAGCTAGAAGGATGTAAATTAATTGGTGATTCAGCCTGTCTGTTAATGCATGTACTTGCAGAATCATGGATTCCGATTGAGTGTTTAATGGTAATAAACTATGGCTGTGTGAAGTATGTAAGATGCGAACATGCTTACATTCTGCCTATTTTCCTCTGTTCCCAAAATCTTTTAAAGGCAGAATTAGTGTAGTGGACCATATTCTAAGCTATTTTTACATGGTCCCAGAAAGACTCGCATAAATATATGTGCATATATCAGCTATACACATACAGTATATATAGAATCTGAATTAAAAATTGAAATATCTGTGAAGAAGGCTGCATGCGAGTGACTGATGTGTAAATTGTGATAAACACATATAAACATTCTTTTTATGTGTGCATAAGGAGAACCTTCACTGAAGACAGTCTCTGGAAATTGCTAGCCAGTCATGAGGAACTGTCTCCAAGGTGTTTTTTTTTCCAGAGGAAGAGAAGTAAGGACATCATCACTGAGGTGGGTCAGCTCACTGAGTGGCTTAGAAAGGCAAGAACAGAGCTTCTCCACTCCAAAATCACCTGTGAATCCTCTGCAGAAGAATAAGCAGAAATGGCTCATAAAAACATGCCCTACGAGCGCATATTCAGGGAGCAAAGGCATTATACATCTCGGCAGTGTAGACGGTTGATTTGTTCTGACAAAGTGCTAATCACCATGTTCTAGGCTGAAGCATATCTGGGCCCTGTGATGACACCCCAATAAATGGAACGCCCTTCCTGATTGGTTCCTGTCGGATCCATCCTTGACTGTCATTCCCCTGTTTGACCAGCTGGTGTCGCTGGCCATCCCGTTCTGTGTTCCCCTAGTGCCCCTTGGTTTTAGCTCCTAATGTGTTCTCGCCAGAGTCCCGAGGCCACAGCCCACTTAGCCCATTTAGCCAAGCAGTGGTCCAGGGAACAGGAAAACACATTAGGAGCTAACAACTAAGCAGCTAAGAACGGGGTAGCCAGCAACACCAAATGGCCAAACAGGGAAACAACAGACAAGGCCAAGACAGATCCTGACAGGTTCCAATAGTGGCATTAATGATGTGTAGTGCTCATTTGCTTTGCGTGACCTGGATCCACTTCTATTAAAGGACAGATGTAATGCACTCAGTCCCATGGTGGGAAAGGAGTATTCTAGCATAAAAGTATGACGGACCACAATGCACCTCTGAAGACCACTACCCAAGGCATTCTGGGATGCCCCTGAGTGGAACTGACAACAGTGGTGTCCTCCTCCACAAACTGGCATAAATTACAGGCATTTGTAGTAGGGGAACAGGGTCAGAATCCCAGCAAAGTGTCTTTGGACTGTGTGCTTCTGAAACACTCTCATCTGTAAACTCCTATACTCAGAAATTACATCATGTTTTACTATTTTTTTCCTCCCTGTTGTAGCAACGGCCCACTCCTCATTTCATACTGAATATTCTTTTTCATGATGTTTTATAGTTGTATATTCTTTAATTTTGGAAGTAATACATATACAGTATATGTATCCACATATATTGCTGAAGTAATTCTGTATAAGGTCCCTTTCTGGGATTTGAACCGACACGAACTGGATTACACGTATAGGTTCTTAATTACCTGCCACTGCACACTGTTCTACTAGCATTTCTTGTAGAGCACTGGCGGATCAGAAGTCCTACAGACAGCAAACCCAGACCTATTTTCTCCCTTCAAAGCTAGTGTTATATGCCATAAACTGCGGTTATGCTTGACACTGTGCCTTATTATTGATTCTGCTGAAGGTCTCTTTTTTTTCCTCCAGTCCTTTGTTAAGGGAGCACTGACTAGCCTCTGTTCTGTATATCCAAACCACCTCAGGGGGTGCTTAGTATTTCCACGCTCAGTGTTCAGTGTGTCACACTCCTCACGTGTGAGGCAGCCACACCACTGGCCAGGAGCAGTGACATTTACAATAGGTTTGGCCAGCCGACTCGTCCACCAGGTCACACGCAGCCGAAGGCCTCATCACTAGAGTTTTTGGTGGGAGTAATGTGTGTGTTTGGGAACTGGGGGGGGGATGAAGTCCAATGTTATCAATACAACACAGAGGAAAAAAACATGGTTTCATCTTTGCAGTAAAAGCCTGAGACCTCCTGAAAGAAACGCATCACACAGGAGTGTAATCTGTCCTGGGGAGGGAAGGCAGTCTCCTGTCAGCCCCCTGCAAATGAGTTCTGCCAGTGACGGGAATCCCGTTCACTCTCATACGTGGCCGTTCTGCTTTTTTTTTGGTATTTCTCTATACTATAGCATCAGATAACACACCTTACACGCAGTAATTCCCGCAGGCCTATAACGATACTGAACGCTACATGTAGTGATTCAGCATTTGACTGGCATGGAGATGACAAAATACTGAGTAAGAATGAAAAACAAACAGCAATTCTGCTGAACCTGTCTTCCCAGTATCCCATAATGCTAACACTACACCAGAACTTAAAAGCAAAACTGTAAAAATTTCTAAGAGTCAGCTCAGCCACTCTAGTAACAATTTATCTATGTGGCCCCTTCAAAGAAAAGCACGAGACATTTAACACACATTTCTTTTTGAAAAACAGACAATGAAGGCTTTACTACATAATACTATTTACTAGATACTGTGGCTTGGTGTTCTGTACATTAATATGAGGAAGTCTGAATATCTCAGACAAATGATCTTTTTTTAATATGTTTATTGTAGCCATATTTGACATACTTCCAGTGATCTCTGAAGGCTCATAAGACTGACGTGAGGAGTACAAGGGGAATATACAGCTAAAAACATGAAATGCCATGAAATATGTCTCCCATAGGAGTACCTATCTTCCTGTTTTGAACATGTGATCATTACATCTTCCAACCCATTTTACAGGAATCAGGGCGATGTGAAATGGAAACTCCACCCAGAGAGAAAGTCCCGCATGAGCATAACTTTGAGCAAAGGAGTGTCAAATCAGGGCACGGACGAGCACGGCGAATCCCCGCTGATATATACACTCCGTGGGCAGTTAATTAGGCACACCTGCTTGTTAATGCATACGGCTGCAACTGAATACACACAGCACACATAAGCAAGGTCAAGAGATTTGATTTTGGTTTGGCTAAGCATCGTATGCATGGATGTGCATGATCGAAGCGGCTCTGAATGAGGTGTGATTGCATAAGCGTGGATGTGCGTGATTGAGGCGGCTCTGAACATGGTGTGCTTTCATACAATATGCATGGATGTGCGGGACCTAAGTGGTTCTGAACCTGGTGTTTTTTCATGTGCGTTGATGTGCCTGATTGAAGCGGCTCTGAATGAGGTGTGCTTGCATAAGCGTGGATGTGCGTGATTGAGGCGGCTCTGAACATGGTGTGCTTTCATACAGTATGCATGGATGTGCGGCACTGAATCTGGTCGCCCTTCATATGCGTGGATGTGCATGATCTAAGCGGTTCTGAACTTGGTGTGCTTCTTGGTGCCAGATGTGGTCAGTTCAGCCTTCAGAAGCAGCTGCCCTCCTGAGATTTTCTCCTGCCATAGTCTCTACAGTTCAATGTAATGGTGCAATAAACAAAACAATAAAAAAACCAACATCCAGTCAGCAGCAGACCTGTATGTGAAACATCTTGTTAATGAGAGAGGTCAGAGGAGAATGGCCAGTTTCGTTAATGCCAACAGGAAGGCCAAAAGTGCAAAAGTAACAGCTAGATACAGCAGCGGTGTGCAGAAAGGTTTTGGTGATTCACTTCTGGAGAAAAAAAGTGGCTCCTGTCTGATACTAACTAGGTGTACCTATTAAACTGGCCACTGAGTGTGTATTTGTCTATATTTCCATTGTGCAATTTGATTGGACATGACATCAGGACACTGTTGATTTTCTGTAAAAATGACAAAACATGGTCTTGGAATCTGTTATGCCCATGAGACAGATACAGAACATTTTTCTTACTGGGTATACCAAACTCTCAATGAAACGTCTGAGTGCAGTGTTGACAGTGAACTTATTTCTGTGCAGTGTCCAGTGTTTTTTTTTTTTTTTTACCACTGACATGTCGCACTGGATAACAGGTTTAAAAGTAGTGCACTTCAGCTTCAAACGTTTTAAGCTTTTCTCCAGCTTCATGTTAGTATTTAACCTGGCACAATAAATCTGCCAGAATGGAACAAGTAAAACAAATGATAGACAATGCACTTATACATGCCCCGTGGCCATGACCAGAAAAGGCGTCTGGAAGATGGATGAATGGATGGGAATGTTTGTGTGGAGCTGGGGTGCAAAAGAAATAATAATAATTAAAAAAAACACATTTCGGAGCCATCTTCTTATGATTTATGAACATTTAGGTTGCCAGAATTAAAATAGGTTCCTTGCTTCAAGACGGCCAGTTTATTTGATTATTGAGAATAACAACGCAATCGGTAGATTGGTGAATATTTAATGACAACACGTTGAATGATGAAGTCCGCTCCGTTTCTCTGATAGCGAGCGATGCTGATCTCCGGACTCCGTTCCGCGTTTTGCCGAGCGCTCGGACTCGGTGCCCTGGCAATGCTCGCCGAGTATATCTGGCTCCGCTGGATCCCCGGTTTCCTCTCATAGATGTAATACAGTATCTCCGTATGTGACAGAAGTTAACAGGACACTGCATGTAGCGGTGCCTCGCGAGTCGGATTTATAGGTCTGTGTCGCGAATTTCCAAATTAAAGACAGGAGCCCGCTTCACTGGTGGCAAAGTAAAAAGTGTGGTTTGTGACTGACAGATATTTTCCCAGTCTGCAGAGCAAGAAAAAAAGTGGAAAGGCACTGAGCGCTATATTATCAACAGAGCTACGGGGGCTGCTCTGCTGCCTGGATTTGCTTGAACCTGGGATCGTTCGTGGACCAAATACGGATTTATCGAAGAAGTGCACAATGTCGAGAATGCAAGCCGTTTTTTACACTTTCTCGGTGCTCTCCCTGTCTGTGGGAGCAGATGTGAAAGCACGGAGCTGCAGTGAGGTTAGACAAGCCTACGCCGCTAAAGGCTTCAGTCTCGTCAATGTACCACACCAGGAAATATCAGGTAAGCCTAAAACGTGTACATTTACAGGGCAGCCCTCGGAATATATCCGCTACAGTCCAGAGCGGTATATTTATATACATCTTTTATTTATTTTTTATTTATTTATATACATTTTTTCCTGTCTCACTTCCTTTATATTGATTGGTACCATTAATGTGGTTACTGGTAAATAAATATACCCGTTGTCATCATATACGGCTAAAGAGAATTCGTAGGGAAATTAAATACTAGCAATAATTCAAGGGCCGTTAAACTTGTCAAAACTTGACCATAGTAGTTAAAGGGTTCTTCACACTCATCCGCAAATACCTAAGCGCACAAATCTATCTCACATCCAACAGACGTGACTGATTATAGTATTATATGTATATAGGCTACTCATATGTTTTCATAAATGTTATAGGCTATATATTGTCTACGCACTGTTGGTGTCTACCATAAAACTTGCCCAAATATGGTTTTCCGAACTGTTTAATATACACGTCTCCCTTCCTCTAAGATGCCGATTAAGTGCCAGGATGAAATTATTGCAACCAACAGTAACATTTATATACTATAATGATCTCGATGTAAAGGCGAAGGACGAGACTTTGGCCAGAGCGGCTCTTCCGTGGCGTAACTGCCGTTCGAACGAGATCCGCTCCTGCTTAATTACTTATGGATTGGGCCATCAATGAAACTCTTGATCTATCTATGATAAGCGGAAAAGGTTAATTAATGTACTGTGGGGTAAAAGTATAAGATAAGACAATAAGGTTGGCCTACCGCAAAAACAACATTGATCTCAGCCTAAGCACCAAAAATCAGGAAGTCACATGTTGCTTGTGTTGCTTTTTCGATAACATTGATTGAAACATTTTTGCTACCCAGTGTGACCAGAACAAGCCAACAAAGTACTATATACAGTCAGTTTACTGGAAATGATTTTGGAGACATCAACAGAAATTATCGTAAAATTTTAACTATTAACTGTAGCTTGTTGGGAAGCTGTCAACTTTAACAAGTTAAAATAACTTTGCACAACAAATTTAAACTGTTTAAAGCTCCACATAATTCGGTAAAGCACTGTCGAATACAAATGACATACTCAGTTAAAATTAAAAAGTATCCACAATAAACATCTTTCTGTCTACTAAGAAAATCTGGCAGGCCTTTTCCTTTATAATTTGGTTTGATTTGGGGGGAATTAATAATATTAATATTAATAACAGACCTACTAATAATATCATGTGTAAGTTTTACCTGATAATTACACAATTTTATTCCACAAGTCAACTTCAAGGTGATGAGATACAGAACAATGACCTGCTTCTGCTCTGTTATTTTATTAAAGATTAAAAAAAAAAAAAAAACGTCGTTTGCTTGTATGAAAATACAATAGCGTGAAATTATTTAGTCTAAATGTTTAAGTATGACTATTATTCGTGAATATAAAAGGAAGATGTATATTATACTATAATACAGAGTTCGTAAATATATCACTTTATCGCGAACATTTTTTTCCAAATCTGCCCGCCCTTCTACAAGTACCTAAGTCACGCCATGGATCTCTTTCATTGTTTTTAAGTCCGAATAATCTCAATTGACCTATAGATTTATAGTGATTGTAAATGAGTAACATTCATACGCTTAATATAAGTTCTGCCACGTTTAGGAGTTCATTAACCGGCCGGAGTCCCGTTTTCCATGAGTCATCCGGAACGATGCCCCGTGTCCGTTAGAGGGCTCTGTATCCGCGGCAAAGGGGCCGCTGTCTGCACTCGCATGCGTGAGATGTACAAAATTACTCATGTTAGTTTTAAAAATTTCATTACCATTTGTGAACAAATAGCAATTCTCAGATATGCATGCGCGTGCTCCATTGTGGAACTAGATTTGCGTTTAAATGATTAATAATGAGAAACCTGGAGACCGAAACTGGTTTCTAATACAGCCTGCGCTTAATGCGGTTTTTATGTTCTTTTCCAAACGCTTCACTTACAGTTAAAGGAAATGGATAAACGAATAAATATAGCAGAAATCTTTCATGTGAAAGGGGTAGCAACTGATATTTTAATTTTTATGATATATATTTTTATATAAAGCCTCTACCTTCAAAGCAATTAGATGGATCCTCTTAGGAAAGAGGGAACCAGATGCTGATTGTATTTTATCTGACATATAGCATCTTTTAGCAGCCAGTTAGCAGCAGGTGCTTCCCTGCAGGTGTGATTCCTGGGTTAATTAAATAATTAGCATCCCATCATGCTTAGGGCCATCTATAAACATTCTGGAAAGAGCTATGTGCCCGTGAATGTGGGCACAGTGGCTAAGGGAAGAGATAGCGATGTCTGTAGTGTAGTCTGAGTTTAGCTTCACATATGGCAGGGCCTCAGTGATAGACTGCTCTGGGTAATTAAGCAGTATTAATAGTCATAAGGTTTGCCTGTGAATCTGTGGGAAATATATCAGCCGTGGCCCAAAGTGTGTATTTATAAACTGTAAAGTGCATGTAGTGGTTCAGGATGCAAAGGCTCTGAATTTGTCTCCCACAGATATTTTGTTAGATACAAAAACTACTAGTTTTGAGATTGAACCTGTGCCCAGTGCTTACTGGGGCTGATGTCTGGCAGATATTATGCAGTTTGAGTCTAATGCCGATTTTCAATTTCACTACCACATTGAATGTAAACCATTAAGGTGAAGTCAGTAAACACACCTAAACCTGAAATGCTTTTTTTTTTTTTTTTGGAAATTAATGACTTTTTTTGCCTTTGGCTATGTAAGAGTAACACAGAGGTAATTACAGGAGGCTGACTTCACAGCCCAGAATGCCTAAATTAGTGTCCTCCTTCTGTCATCATAATTAGTTTTCACACACCCAAAATAGATGTTAACATTTCACGCTGTGAGTTTCGTTTTTCTTTTGTATTTTAAACTGTTTACTCATATTTCAGCATGATAATATTGGATTTATCAGCAGCATTATTTGAAAGATACATACTTTTTGGCTTTAATGCCTTTCAGTAAAGCAAAGCTGTTTTTTTTTCACTTGTGAAAGTAACTAACTCTACCTTCTAGTTCACTAATGGAGGTTAGGATGTGAATCGATGGTGTCCCATGCTGAGAAAGTCAACAGACTGATGGGATCTGTGCGCTCAATATGTACCGGTGTGGTTCATTCTGCTGTAGTAGCACAGGGGAGAAGGTAGTTACACCATCAATGAAAGCTAGTCAGTCTGGTACTGATGGTATATAAAGAGTACAGAGGGAAATTACTGGAAGGTACCAAGGCCGTTCCCATTGTGGGAAAATTACAATGACAAATATGCTGATATAACAAAATAGATGTATTCAGAACATTCGGGTATTTCTGCTTAAATACTCGGTTCACAAATAGTACTTTTCTTATTAACAGAAAAATCTATTTAATGTCATATAGCAGTATGTCATTTTTGCATGCAGTAGTCTGCTGTGGAAACATGGAACTGAAGTCGGAAGGCAATCAATGCATCAGTAATCAAGGGCGTCGTTTATAAGATCTTATCTAGTTGCTGTTCATAATTTGCAGTCTGATATTCAGGAGAAGGGGCTTCAAAGTATTTCCCATTTTAAATGTTCTTTAGTTCATTATGTAAAGCAAAAATGTGAGTCTTATTCAAAGAAAATTGTAGTGGTAGATGTGTTTTAATGAAACGGCAAATAATAAAATCTATTTATATGGCATTTGAGGAAATTGGAAAAAGTATGATAGCTGTTCTGATAACTATAAATTTAACAGCATGTAGATGTGTGCTTGATATATAAAGCATGCAAATTTACCGTGGTTGGGAGTATTAATTGGCCAAATACTGTTACCATGAAGAATATTTCAATTGCATGGTGAGTGTACAGAGATGAGCTGTTTGGTAACCTGTGCCGAGGCCAGCAACACAGAGATGAGCTGTTTGGTAACCTGTGCCAAGGCCAGCAACTCAGAGATGAGCTGTTTGGTAACCTGTGCCGAGGCCAGCAACACAGAGATGAGCTGTTTGGTAACCTGTGCCGAGGCCAGCAACACAGAGATGAGCTGTTTGGTAACCTGTGCCACGGTCAGCGACACGAAACCCCAGGGTTACCGGGGCTCCAGAAAGGGGGCCAGCACAGCTCAGTACTGAAAGATCTGAAATTACAAACACTTTTCCCACTTATACAAAGATGGGAAACCCACTTCATGATGATCTATGCTGAGCTCTGTTGCTGCATTTTATAGAAATTCTGCATTTGTCTGATTTTGTATGGAATTAAATAAACTTAAATCTCACTGTTTAACAATTTATACATGAACTTATTATAATTGCACTGCCAGTATTACATTTTCTAAAGGGTTTTTTACCCATTTTCGCTTTAATGTTTCAATGCCATTATATATTTGCTTTTTAAATTGTTAACTTTAATTTAAAATGAAACATATAATGTGCTGCATTCTCTTGACTAGAGTTTCAATGACCAATTGAGGAATGGATCCACTTGTATAATTCCCTATAAACCCTCGGTAATGATATCGGCATTATATTTACAGCACTTTTTTCCTGCTGCCGTAGCTGTGAGGGAAAAGCCTTCCGTCTGCAACTGATGAAAGTGACACTGATGTGACGGTCTGTTAATATTAAGTGTAAACTCTTTCAGAGGTGATCGCAGCTTTTATTATTGTATGTGCAACTAACTGGAAAATTGACCTTAAAAATGGCATCTGTTAAAAGTGTCCTTTAATAAGTAGAAAGTTGCATTTTTAGCAGTTTATTTGACACATCCTTTTTCCTAGAGGCTGTGTAAATCTCTCACTGGTTCATTCAGTGTCAGTGTTTGATCCATCAGATGAGAAAATACGTACTCTGATAGGAGTATTGTGTCTAAGTACTGCAGTTTTTTCTGTATTCCTTCCTCTTGTGGTCTGAAATGCATCAAACTGCTCTGCATGATAAAACAAGTCATACCTCTCAACTCTAGTTGTTCACTTTTGAGACGCTCCCTAATTCACT